TATTATCCAAATGTTCACATTGACTGCAAAGGATTTTTGCTCTAATAGTTCCCCTGACATACGATTTTTTCTACTTATTTCATATGGGAGGTTTCAACCCCCCTAATGATAGTCCGCCCATTTGAAGAAAAATTTGAAGATTTTAGGTCTATTAGTTTCTCAGACAAACGACAACGCCAATTTATTTACATGGATGTTAAAGTTGTTCTTGCAAAATTTGAGGATTTTAGCTCTAATAGTTGTTCAAATATACGAATTTTTCTATTTTCTTCATATGGGGGATTCCAAGTCCCCCTGATAAAAGTCCGCCCTTTTTCCCCAAAATGTTCAGATGAATATTAAAGTTCTTCTTGCAAAATTTTAAGAAGCTAGCTTAATTAGTATCCCAGATAAACGAATTTTTGTATATTTTATTCATATGGGAGGAGGAACGCCCACTTGAAATTTTGAAGTAAAAAGTAGCCTATAGTTCCTTCCAGACATACAGGAAGACACTGTGAAAATTTCAGAAAAATCCGTCCAGCCGTTTAGCAGTCTATAAATTCCAAACAAACAAACATACAAACACACTTTAGTTTTTATATATAAGACATGATTTAATATTTTATTCGACATCATATTTATAACATTAATTTGATGGTCTGTGAAATTTTTTACTTTATTCGGCACTAAAATCTTAATTTACTAGACTATAAATGTGTTAAAATGTATAAAAAGCACCCATTTCCTATGGAAATTGTAAATATAGCTATATAGAAACTTCTATAACTTCCAAACCCATTGGGATCCCATTCTAAAAAATTACATAGCAATAACAATAAATTTGTCTATTTGTCATAAAAAAATTAAGAAAAATAAAGTATCCTTTTTTGAGATATTCAAGGATAAAGGACATTTTCCTCTATATGGTCCTTGCGCCAGGACTTCATGTAATTTTAATGAAATGTCAAAAACGAGTAATCGAAGACCTGTCGAACGAAACATTATTTGTTAAAATCGGATAACTGGTTCCAAAATAATTCAGTCATCAACATTTCTAATATTGAACAAAAATACCCGAGATGCCCTACTTTAGAGACCCATAAAATATGAACCGAATGAGTTATGAACCTAATTTATACGCCATAGAAACCGCATTAAAGACTAGAATATATGCCCCTGATTTGAAAAATCGAAACTAACAAAAATCGAAATAAACAAAAATTTAAAACAGCGTTTTTTGGTCGATTTATTTTGGAATTACCCCTCTTACTTGGTTTTAATGATCGATTTTAAATATAATTTATAAGGCTGAAAAAACAGTTTTATATGTTTTATGAGCAACCGCGCCATCTATCGGAGCTTCGCCCATTTTAGTTTTAAATATTGATATTGAAGATACTTGTAAAAAACTGTATATGTTTACAGTCACTGTCAGTAATATTCGATTTTAAATTGCGATATATTGATATTGAAATTTAAGCAGGAATTTTGAGAAAAAAAAATTATATATTTTTTTGTAATTAAAAGAAAAATTCAAAATACATTATTCTTGAGGTAAAACAAATAAAACAGCAAAAAATTATAATTTGCCAAAAATTAAAGCTTCATTAATATTCGGTTTTTTTTTCTAACTTGTTTAAAAATAAAGTCATTATCTGGTAGGTTAGCCATTATTTTTTACAACATTAGATAGACGATTTGACATATTAGATCAAATAATCTACCATGATTTTATCCCATTATTCTTGCAGCCTTTTTTGGGCTCAGTTTTAGAAGAAATTGTATTAGTACGATTTTTCCAATCTAAATGCTTCCATAATTTTTTTCTTGGAATTCATGTTGGGAGATTGGGCTAGTGTTTTAATCACTTTTGAACAATTATAAATCAACTATTCAAGGACAACGGTCCTTTGATGTTTAGGGTAGTTAACTTGGTATATTTTAAATGTTTATTCAATTTCCATTTTATCAGCTGATTGCTTTAAATTATCCCTCAAAATAGTTAAATACAAATCTTTGTTCATGTTAATGTCGATAAATGCTAGGTTTTCGACTCCATTTGATAATATAGAGTCCCAAACCATCACATGTCCTCCTCTGTTTTACTATTGGAGTAGGGTTTTTTTCATTCAGCTCTTCATTTGGTTTCCGCCACACCATCCGACACTTCAAATATATTAAATACGCTCTTATCAAAGAATATAACTTCGTCCCACCAAATTAATTTTTTTTGAGACGTTCATTCACAAATTTTAGTCGGTATGTTCCATACTTATTATTTATTATCGGCTTCTTACTAGGCACTCGGCCATTATATCCTTGACTTTAAATCTTTCGATGAATTATTGTTTCTGAAGCAGTCTTTATTAATTACAATTTTAGGAGCACTTAGCGCGGAGTTTTCTTTAAATGAATGCGACCTTCATTTTTATACCTTTGTACAACATCACCGACAGTATTTGACTTCATATTTAGTATTTCACCAATATTTTTATATGTTTTTTCATCTTCATATGCAAAACTACAATTTAATTTTTTTCTATAGATGATTTTTTTCCTTAAGACCGATTGTTTTTTATTAAAAAAAAAAAAACCTTTTTAAAATTATTCCACATGATACACGAGCTTATTTGAACATCATAATATAAATTCGTCCATTATTCACACAAATTCGTCCATTATTTGAACGGTTAATATTCTATGTTTTTCAATTTTTTATTATATTTAATTAACATAAGTATATAAAGGATTTGGTATGTATAAAAAAACTCTTAATATGTACAACAATAAGTACAAAATATTTTTTTAAATACCTTAAATTTATTTAAAAATTAAGAACAGAAAAAACGGAAACGTAAAACCCGAATATTAATGACAGTCACTGTAATTTCCAAAATAAACGAATTTTAGTATCTTATTAATATGGTATATGCCACGCCCACTATATATGGTACTTCCATGTCCCAAAATATTTATTTTCATAAGGGTAATGTCAATGTCAAAGTTGACCGTACAAAATTTAAGGACTATAGCCATATAGTAGCATATAGGCGAAAGGGATTGTCAAAGACCTAAGTCCCCTGTCAAAAACCTAACTGGTGAGAATGTATTAGTAGAAGCACAAAAATAAACACAGTTGTTCAAAAGATACTAAATAATAAATGCATTTTTGATACCTTATTTTTTGTATATTATTACTGGGATTTCATATACTAGTGGATGAAAATAATAGTTAATTAATTTTCTTAGAAGATATTTCATCTTAAAACATATTATAAACACGTATTTTTGTTATTTTTTTTTCTGCACTAATGGACAAAGAAAAAAAGTATGTGAAATCCTTTTTTCATTTTCAATACGAAAATTTACAACTTTTCTTTTTTCAGTTTTAATTAAAATGAAATGTCAAAGAATAAAAAATATTTTTTTTTTCGTTTGTAAAATATAAATTATTTTCGGGGAATTAAATACATTAAAAGTGTGGCAAAAAATAATAAATATTAAGTTTAAGTGATAAGAAAACCTATTAAGTGCTAATATCCTCGCAATTTCGCGAAGAAAATTTGAAGATTTGTGAGCGCGTTTAGTGTGTTTTATTCTCTCAGAACTCGTCTGTGTGAAGAGAGTTACAAATTTTGTTTGACAACCCCTTCAGTTTCGCCTATGTCCCTACTATATGACTATAGCTCTTATAGTTTCCCATATATATGAATTTTAGTATTTGATCAGTATGAGACAAACATCAAACATATGTATGTTCACAACAAAAATTTGGTGAATATGAAATTTTTTAAAGAAAAAATATAAATTAATAGCAAACTAATATTAAAATATGATTTGTAATTGGATTTATTTTATTTGTCATAAATTGGTTTTCAAATGAGTTTGTTGTGAAAAATCAAAACAACCAATTTCAATCTTGCGACCCACTATTAAGGCCGACTTTTGGGTCGCACATGCATAAAAGTTATTAATTTTCTTTTTAATTGTCTCCTATAGCATTTCTTTAAAAAGTATTACAAATCTAATGGAAAACAGTTTTGCAATTTGCGCATTTTATATTTTAATATAATCTAAAATTGTAAATATTGCGCAGGGCTGCAGATATGAGCAACTGGAATTATGAGCACGTTAAAGAATACATCAATACCATTTTAAACATATAAATAGTTTCGTGTATACGTCCCGATAAACAAAGTACTACTATATGGAACACAAAACCAATCACCAAAATCGCATAAAAAGACGATACACTTTAATGATACAAATGTAGTATAAAATAATTTTATGCTTTTTTGATAAAAATTAATATTTTCATATCTTTTTGAGTATTTTAATTTTACAATTTATTTGTTTATCACACTTTTTTCTCTATAACTGAAGCGCCAAAAGTATGAAAACAAACCAAATAAACAACATCCAACTTTAAGAGCTTGACGTTAAATTATGGGTTGCCACCTTATTCTAATAATTTGCACTTGTCTATTCCAAAACATTAGCTACCAATTACCATCATTACTTTTGGAAAATTGTTCACTTTAAAAATGGATTTTTTGCCTCAAAAACTGTAGTGAAATGCTACAAGCAGTGCAGCTAATGAGTTTATTTTCATTTTTTTACTTTGCTTTAGCTTTGGATACAATTGCTGAAATACTTTAGAAAAGCAGATATTTGAGTGCTTTTGCCTATTTCAAGCATTTAATTTTTTTACTTTGCTTTAGCTTTGGATACAATTGCTGAAATACTTTAGCAAAGCAGATATTTGAGTGCTTTTGCTTATTTCAAGCAAGCAATACAATTGATGCTAAAATACTATATATAAAAATGGATGGATTGGACTTTCTGCCTTTAAAATTTAAATGTTTTTTAGAAAGGGCCTTTTGTTTTTCGTTAATAAAATCGCAAATTTTGCCGGAGAAATTTTTTTGTGAACAATTATTATTGTTTGGTTAGTTAGGGCCGTTTGCGTTTTAGTTGACAATATAAATGGAATATTTTATATACACATATATAATTACCAGTTTGAGCTCCACTTAGTTGAGATATACTTAATGAACTTAAAATATTATTACGGTTTTGTATTTCCTGGAGTCTGTGAAGATCTTCTTGGTGCTTTATATGACTTTGATTTTGAATCTGCTGTTGCTGTAAATTCTGCTGAAGTTTTTCTTCCATTTGTTTATTTGATTTAATCATAACATTTTTCAATGCTTCTTCCCATTCTGAAAATTATGAAACAATATTTTAAAATTTACAATTTTGGAATAAACATTGTAATTTCAAAGAATTAATGCCAATTTTTAAAATATTTTTATATTTAAAATATAATATTGCAACCCTCCGTTGTTTCCTCGTAAAGCTATTTTTTATCAATTCTTTGTTACCGTTTGTCTAGATCATTGAAAAATCACAATATAAACAAGTAAGACCACCATGATGTGTTAAAAAACAGTCAGTACGAATTTTATTACAAAAAATCAAAAATACCAATTGCAAAACGGTAAGGTACCAAAGAGTCCCCTTTTATGGGTTCTCACTTAATCCGGGCTCTACATGCATAATTTAATATTTCTAGGTTCAATATTATAGAAATTTCAAAAAGTACCTTTTGAAGAACGAAAAAGTACCAAAAAGTCCCCTATTATGGGTTCTCACTTAATCCAGACACTACATTCTTAATTTCATGTTTCTAAGTTCAATATTATAGAAATTTCAAAAAGTATCTTTTGTAGAACGAAAAAGTACCAAGAAGTCCCCTTTTATTTGTTCTCGCCTAATCCTGGTTCTACATACTTAATTTCATGTTTCTAGGTTCAATATTATAGAAAATTTAAAAAGTACTTTTTGTAGAACGAAAAAGTACCAAAAAGTCCCCTTTTATAGGTTCTTACCTAGTCAAGGCCCTACATGCTAAATTTCATGTTTCTAGGTTCAATATTATAGAAAATTCAAAAAGTACCTTTTGTAGAACGAAAAAGTACCAAAAAGTCTTTTTTATAGGTTCTTACCTAATCAAGGCCCTTCATGCTAAATTTCATGTTTCTAGGTTCAATATTATAGAAAATTCAAAAAGTGCCTTCTATAGAACGAAAAAGTACCAACAAGTCCCCTTTTATTTGTTCTCGCCTAATCCTGGTTCTACATACTTAATTTCATGTTTCTAGGTTCAATATTATAGAAAATTCAAAAAGTACTTTTTGTAGAACGAAAAAGTACTAAAAAGTCCCCTTTTATAGGTTTTTACCTAATCAAGGCCCTACATGCTAAATTTCATGTTTCTAGGTTCAAGATTATAGAAAATTCAAAAAGTACCTTTGGTGGAACGAAAAAGTACCAAAAAGTCCCCTTTTATGTGTTCTGACCTAATCCGGGTTCTACATACTTAATTTCATATTTCTAGGTTTAATATTATAGAAAATTCAAAAAGAACCTTTTGTAGAACGAAAATTTACAAAAAAGTCCCCTTTTATGTGTTCTGTTGTTGGCAAGTAATTTTTTCTTAAGGGGGAAATCAAAACATTGAAATGGTAGATTAAAGCGTGGTATTTATTAATTTATAATACTAGATATACTCATAGTGTGTTGTCGAGTTTGGAAGGTTCAAATAGTACACTTCGGGTGTAAAAAGTATTTTAAACAATAAAGGTACAGGGCCAATGTACCCGTCATGCGGACGTATGCGGCAATCAGCTGCACGCGGAATCGGTTGAACACAAAATCATAAAAATGAATCACTTTTCAATTTCAAAAGAACATCAATTAATTCCAATTGAATTTTTTATTTGTTATTTAAATGTTTTTTAAAATTTTAAAATTTATTTTTTTTTCCTTTTTGTTGATTTTAAAAATGTTAAAATAAAAAGTTTTGTATAACAATTGATTTTCAAGCGGCCGTGCGTAAAAGTTGAACAATATTCAACTTTGCCGCATTGCAGACCTGGGATAAATGCATTAAATGTGTTAATGCATTAACAATTTTTTCTACATTAAAAAAAAATAATGTTAATGTTAAGTTTATTGCATTAACATTAACATGGGTACATTTAATGCATTAAATTTGCATTAACATTAAATATTTTTAAATTTAATGCATTAATTTTACATTAACATTAAATATTTGTGAAATTAATGCATTAATTTTGCATTAACATTAAATATTTTTGAATTTAATGCATTAATTTTCCATTAACATTAAGTATAAAATAATTTATAAAAATAAGAATACAGCGCTAAAGACCTCGGTCTAACTAAATTCAAGTAAAATTGAATGTGTTAAAGTCCTTTCTAATAAGTCCTATACTCGATAATACATATTAGAAGAATAGTATCACTTCCCAGATATTCCATTTTTAGTTTATTTTGTTAAAGTCCTTTCTAATAAGTCCTATACTCGATAATACATATTAGAAGAATAGTATCACTTCCCAGATATTCCTTTTTTAGTTTATTTTGTCTGTGGAATCTTATATAAATATCATATTTAAAACACACAAGTTTGAATGGAATATAGGAGTTATTAGAAAGGACTTTAACCTATTTAATTTTAGTTGTATTTAGTTAGATCGAGGTCTTTTGTGCTGTATTTTTATTTATGTTTATCAATTTTTATATATATTAATGTTAATGGAATATTAATTCATTCATTTTATTGCTTATTTAATGTTAATGTAAAATTAATGCACTAAATTCAGATATATTTAATGTTAATGTAAAATTAATGCATTAATTTCAAAAATATTTAATGTTAATGTAAAATTAATGCATTAAATTCAAAAATATTTAATGCTAATCGAAATTTAATGCATTAAATTTTACAAATTTAATTTTAATGCAATATTTTTTACATTAAATTAATTTTTTTTAATTTAATGTTAATGCAAAATTAATGGAAATCGCCCAGGTCTGCCGCATTGCCGCGTCTTTCATCATTGCCAAATCAAAATATTCGTAATGTGTCAATATTTTTATATGGAAAATTTTGTAAACATATTAAAGCTGGTAATGCTGCTGCCGCTTGAAGCCGCACGCCACGTACATTGGCCCTGCACTATAACATTTCTTCGTTTCGTGGTCCAATTTAAAAAAATTCTATAAATGAAATCTCCCAATGCGGTGTTCTGCAGGACGAACTATTCAATACTGAACTAGCTATCAACTGATTGGCTACAAGAGTGCATAAATCGTAACTGCGTTAACATCGGCAACTAACTGAAACGGAATTCCAAGCAAGTATACTTTGAAACTCTTCAATGCTTCGATCACGGCAGTCAGTGTTTTCTACTCATATCGTCAGGTGATTTTTGCTTTAATAATGCTCCGTTTCTTTTTATAGACGCATCAGTATAGACTTCGGTATCATTATTTCGATTACAGATTTGTAGCACACAATTTTCACTCATTATAGTTTTCAGTATGTCGACTGCTGCTCATCGCCTATCTCAGATTTTTCGATATTTTCGCATCCGTCCTTTATTTGTCGACTTAGTTTTTACTGGTCGATAATTCTTTATCAAATCCTTCACTTCGAGCTTAAAGAAATTCAATTTGATTTTAAAATTTTAACTTCATGCGATCTTTTAACAAAATGTTTACGTTTGTTAAGATGAAATGAATATGCTGAAATTGCGCATTTTGAGGAATTTTCCAGGGTGATACCTTATGAACATTTTGAAATTTGATTAAAGGAGCACGCAAAGGATGTCTCCTCAATAATAAACTGATTTATATGGAATCGTTTATACAATTTTTCACGCTGAAGATATTTTAAATTTGTTTTTTGTTTTAAGTTATGTATATTACTAACTTAAAAATACATAATAACAAAATTTATCATTATTTTCGTTAAATGTGATTTAAATACACAGAAAAAATGCATACTATATTTAAATTTTAAACAAAAGCAACTTCTTCATAAACAAAAAAATAATAATATAATTGATGCACATCTGACTATTAGAGAAGCCTTTAGGAGCGCTACTTGATCCTCTATCTCATTATGTGAACCAAACTACAATGATCCAAAATGATAAAAATGGGGTTCAAATCAGGGGATGGAGTTGATCGATGGAAAACGTGATCATTTGATGCCACCTATATATCGCCTGTCAACATTTTTGGTGTGTTTTTGTACATTTTCGAGATAGAATACTAAAAACATTCTAATTATCGATAATACAGGATCTTCAATCATTATCTATAATAACTTGTATGTATGTATGTATGTATGAATGTATGTATGTATGTATGTATGTATGTATGTATGTATGTATGTATGTATGTATGTATGTATGTATGTATGTATGTATGTATGTATGTATGTAGTATGTATGTATGTATGTATGTATGTATGTATGTATGTATGTATGTATGTATGTATGTATGTATGTATGTATGTATGTATGTATGTATGTATGTATGTATGTATGTATGTATGTATGTATGTATGTATGTATGTATGTATGTATGTATGTATGTATGTATGTATGTATGTATGTATGTATGTATGTATGTATGTATGGTATGTATGTAGTATGTATGTATGTATGTATGTATGTCTGTCTGTCTGTCTGTCTGTCTGTCTGTCTTCTGTCTCTGTCTGTCTGTCTGTCTGTCTGTCTGTCTGTCGTCCTGTCTGTCTGTCTGTATGTCTGTCTGTCTGTCTCTGTCTGTCTGTCTGTCTGTCTGTCTTGTCTGTCTGTCTGTCTGTCTGTCTGTCTGTCTGTCTTTGTCTGTCTGTCTTCTGTCTGTCTGGTCTGTCTGTCTGTATGTCTGTCTGTCTGTCTGTCTTCTGTCTGTCTGTATGTCTGTCTGTCTGTCTGTCTGTCTGTCTGTCTCCTTTTTTTCCATTTTTTGGCCCCCTTTTCCCCTTTTTCTCCCTTGCCCTTTGTCTCCTTTTTGGCGACCTTTTTCTACCAAACGACACACATTAAAAATGAAAGGAACAGTTTTCGAAAATGTTATATACCTCAAGTAAAAACTTAATTGAAAGTAATGAGTTAAAAAGCTAATAAAACCTCTTTTCACTACTTCTTCATTAACATTTTAAGTCATTATTTTAATACGGTGATGTTATTGGAGGCAAGTACTTCTACGCATGCTTACAAATAGGGAGTTAAAGAAGTACTTACAATTTCTCTTACAAAGAAGTTGTTGAGTAAGTTGTTTTGCTTTTTAATATTAAAAGAGCCAGCTAGAATATGAACCAGGGACTTCGGTTTGTTAG